CTGTTTCCCGGATTTGAACTGCCGACCTTTTGGTCAGCAAGTTCAGCAGCTTAGTAGGTTTGCTTCTTCTTCCAGCATGCTGATGTTTGTCCGCATGTCTTCCCAAGAGATTTACAGGATTTTCCGGAGGCAGTGCTGATGGAATCATTCCAGGAGTTGCATGTGACGTCTGTAGACAGTCCACGTTTCGCAGGCATAGAGCAGGGTTGGGAGGACAATAGCTTTATAAACAAGCTGGGCATGTTTAGCCTGAATAAGAGAAGGATGAGAGGAGATATGACAGCCATGTATAAATATGTGAGAGGAAGCCACAGGGAGGAGGGAGCAAGCTTGTTTTCTGCTTCCTTGGAGACTAGGACGTGGAACAATGGCTTCAAACTAAAAGAGAGGAGATTCCATCTGAACATGAGGAAGAACTTCCTGACTTTGAGAGCCGTTCAGCAGTGGAACTTTCTGCCCTGGAGTGTGGTGGAGGCTCCTTCTTTGGAAGCTTTCAAAGAGAGGCTGGATGGCCATCTGTCAGGGGTGATTTGAATGCAATATTCCTGCTTCTTGGCAGGGGGTTGGACTAGATGGCCCATGAGGTCTCTTCCAACTCTTTGATTCTATGATTCTATGATTAACTCACTGTGCAACTGGGGGCTTCAGACTTCTACTAGACAGAGAGCCTTCTCGATTGTGGCCCCTTATTTATGGAATGCCTTGCCAGTTGAAACCTGAACCATCCGAGAGCTACCTGCTTTTCGGCAAGCCTGTAAAACCTTTCTTTTCCTACAAGCTTTCGATGGGTGAATAACTCGGGACTATGTTGGTTCTAGTTTTTATTGTATTTTAAAGTTGGTTGTATTGTTTTAATCTACTGCTGTAAACCTCTCCGAGCCAAATTGGGAGTGGCGATATACAAGTCTAATAAATAAAATAAATAAAATATATAATGTAGTGAAATACATTAACTATATAGCAGTGTAGATGGGGCCAGGGAAAGACTGAGAAACTGCAAGTCACTTCTGGTGTGTGATAATTGTCTATCTACAAGGATGTTTGCCCAGGGGACACCCAGACTTTTTACTATCCTTGTGGGAGGCTTCTAACATGTCCCCACGTGGGGGCTATTCATTTCCAGGGCCTGCTGAATAGCTATAATAGGGTTGGACTAGGGTTAGTAAAATGAGGTAGGGGAGGGCCAGAGAAGTGGGTAGGGTACAGAGTAGCTATAATAGGGCTGGACTGGGGTTAGTAAAATGAGGTAGGGGAGGGCCGGGGAAGTGGGTAGGTACAGAGTAGCTATAATAGGGCTGGACTAGGGTTAGTAAAATGAGGGAGTGGAGGGCCGGAGAAGTGGGTAGGATACAGAGTAGCTATAATAGGGCTGGAGTAGGGTTAGTAAAATGAGGTAGAGGAGGGCCGGGGAAGTGGGTAGGGTACAGAGTAGCTATAATAGGGCTGGACTAGGGTTAGTAAAATGAGGTAGGGGAGGGCCGGGGAAGTGGGTAGGGTACAGAGTAGCTATAATAGGGCTGGACTAGGGGTTAGTAAAATGAGGTAGGGGAGGGCCGGGGAAGTGGGTAGGTACAGAGTAGCTATAATAGGGCTGGACTAGGGTTAGTAAAATGAGGGAGTGGAGGGCCGGAGAAGTGGGCAGGGTATAGAGTAGCTATAATAGGGCTGGAGTAGGGTTAGTAAAATGAGGTAGTGGAGGGCAGGGGACGTGGGTAGGGTACAGAGTAGCTATAATAGGGCTGGACTAGGGTTAGTAAAATGAGGTAGGGGAGGGCCGGGGAAGTGGGTAGGGTACAGAGTAGCTATAATAGGGCTGGACTAGGGTTAGTAAAATGAGGTAGGGGAGGGCCGGGGAAGTGGGTAGGTACAGAGTAGCTATAATAGGGCTGGACTAGGGTTAGTAAAATGAGGGAGTGGAGGGCCGGGGAAGTGGGTAGGGTACAGAGTAGGGACCTAATTGATGTTGTGGACAGTGGAGACCAGGCATGTTGTGGTAGGGCCTGGGCCTAACCTGGGGAACCCCTGCCCTAGTTTGTCCCATATAATATATTACTCCTGAATTTAATTTTGCACAGAGCTCCTGCCCTTTAACGATTCTTGGGATGCAGCTTTTAGCCAAGGATGTATGCTGACTGCTGGTCTCTTTTTGAAGGGGAAAATCCTGGTGGATTGCCATCCTTCTGTTGCCCAGGAGGAAAGGACGGGCTGCAGCCTGCAATCCTGATTGCAGAAGACGGCGCCGCAGTTGTCTGCTTCTGCCTCATTGCGGCTGGGAGTCAGGGCACCTTTTTTGACAATGATGTATGATGTGGAACGGCCCCGGTTCAGGGTTTTCCCTTTTCTGCAGCCGCGAGGGGATCATGCCGGAGGAAGCCCGTGAGGACCAGCGCCTGGCCCTGTTGCAAAAGCAGATAAACTTCCAGGCGGGCTGCTGCTTTGCAGTGGGCTGGGAAGGGAAGTCTGTCGCGCCAGGTCTCGGCTTCTGCGGTGGCGGATTTTCCAATGGATGCCCCCTTGGTGCCCGGCCGCAAGCGGGCCTCCTCAGCGGCCTCTCTCCTTGCCAAAGCATTGTACCCAGCGCAGCTTGTCATGCTAATCAGGCAGGGGTGGGCCGCTTGCTCTGCCCTGGGGGCCCAGTGCCGCACCGGAGGCTGCAGGCCCAAGAACTGCAGCAGAGGTGCGACTTCGGCATTGCTGGCAAGCCTTTCACTTATGTGTGTGAGTGAGTGAGCGAGCGAATGAATGAGTGGGTAAACGTTTCTGTTTTTCACGCATGTATGTATATGTAACTACATTTCTGAAATACTTTAAGCCACAGTATGAATGTAGCTCATGATGGATGGACAGCTGTATGGTATCCACTCCTAGTCACAGGATTTTTTTTAATTACAGCTCCCATCATTCCTAACTAACATAATTAGGGATGATGGTGTTAGCAATCCAGAACATCAGTGAGGACTTGTTGTTATTTGTTTGTGCTGCGTTGGATTCGAATTTGTGCTTTGGCCACTGAGTTTTTTCCCCATGTCAGGATCGACTTGAGAAGCTGCAAGTCGCTTCTGGTGTGAGAGAATTGGCTGTTTGCATGAAGGTTGCCCAGGGGATGCCTAGAGACTGTCTCTCCTTCTCCCATCATCGGAGGTCGCCACGACCATCCCAACGCGATTTGCTCTATATACTGGGTCCTAGGGAAGTGCACTCGGAAAGCACCAGACGCAGGGCCTTCTCTATTTCTGCCCCGGCCTTATGGAATTCCTTGCCTCCCTATTTGAGAGCAATGCGTGACTTAGGGCCTTTTACTCTAGCACTTAAGACCTGGCTTTTTACTAGAGCATTCGATCTCTGTTAATTTTAATATTTGTATGCATGTGTTTTATCCTGTATAATTTCTGCAATGTAAATCGCCTGGAGCATCTCGGATGGAGGGCGATTAATGAGTAATTAAAGATGATGATGATGATGATGATGATGTTGATGTTCATGTTGTTCATGATGTTCAAACTACAAGAAAGGAGATTCCATCTGAACATGAGGAAGAACTTCCCGACTGTGAGAGCCGTTCAGCAGTGGAACTCTCTGCCCTGGTGTGTGGCGGAGGCTCTTTCTTTGGAAGCTTTTAAACAGAGGCTGGATGACCATCTGTCGGGGTGCTTTGAATGCAGTATTCCTGTTTCTTGGCAGGAGGTTGGACTGGATGGCCCATGAGGTCTCTTCCAACTCTTTGATTTTAATGTTTTACCATCTTTGTGGGGAGGCTTCTCTCGTGTCCCTGCATGGGGAGCTGGAGCTGACAGAGGGAGCTCATCCGCACTCTCCCTGGATTCGAACCTCTGACCTGTCAGTCTTTTGTCCTGCCGGTGCAAGGGTTTAACTGGGGGTGATCTTGGGGCTGTCCTCCCTTTTTCAGCCTGTTTTTGATTTTTTTTCTTTGTTATATAGATTTTTATTTAATTTCCGAGTGACAATGTAAGTGGGGGAACAATTGTGAGATATAGTAAAGTAGGAAAACAACGATAGAAAAAACCATCTTAAGCAAATAACAAAAACAAGAGATATGGGGAAGGGGAAAAATAGGAATAAAAAAGAATAAATAATAATAATAATAATAATAATAATAATAATAATAATAATAATAAAAAAAACAGACAGGGTAAGGCTCTCTCTTCTTCTTCCTCTCTGAAAACAGGAAGGGTGATACATTGAAAGTGTGGGAACAATTTCCATAAGGAAAAGTTTGAAAAGATGGAAGAGATTTTGAAGATAGGCCAATTTCTAACTGTTTATTTATTTAAAACTTTTATATCCTGATCTTCTCACCTCCGTAGAGGGACTCAGACCAGTTTTACCATTCTTGTAGGAGGTTTCTCTCATGTCCCCGCATGGGGAGCTGGAGCTGACAGAGGGAGCTCATCCGTGCTCTCCCCGGATTCGAACCTCCAACCTGTCGATCTTCAGTCCTGCCAGTGCAGGGGTTTAACCGGGGTGACCTTGGGGCTGTCCTCCCTTTCTTAGCATGTTTTTGATGTTTTACCATCCTTGTGGGAGGCTTCTCTCATGTCCCCGCACGGGGAGCTGGAGCTGACAGAGGGAGCTCATCTGTGCTTTCCCCGGATTCGAACCTCCGACCTGTCGATCTTTAGTGCTGCCAGCATAAGGGTTTAACTGGGGGTGACCTTGGGGCTGTCCTCCCTTTCTCAGCCTGATAGAGTTGAGAAGGTAATGTACGTGAAGCATGCCACCTTCAGGTCCTCAGGAAAAGGCCATAATAGAGATATATGGTAGTTAAATTGTGAAACTTTGCCCTGCAGATTTCATTTTGGGTAATCTGCTGCCTCCTCTCGCATCCTTCGACCTTGCGTCTGGTTTTGGGCTCTGTGGACGCAGGCTCGTTTTGTCGTGAGCATTTCCCTTCTCTTTTCGGTGCCAGAAACATTTGCAAACGAGAGACCGAGCCAGAGCGAAGGGACCTTTCTCAACGGCATTGTTCTCTTCTCTTTCAGGAGTGAATTGCTTGGCCTATGATGAAGCCATAATGGCTCAGCAGGATAGAATTCAGCAGGAGGTGAGCACTCAGAAAGAGAGCGGTTTCTGGTGCATGAGAGACCAAAAACCAGACTTGTACTGTCTCATCTCCATTTGTTCATTGTCCCGCCTAAAGATTCAGCTGCAATGGGCAGATGCCCCAGTTTTCATTGTGTTCCTTCTGTTGACCTGTCCTAGAATCATTCAAAAATCCCTAATTACTTTACAATGTAATTGCCTCTTTGATTTTTAGGACATCATGAAATAAGGGGTTTAAGATATCTTGGGTTTTTGGCTGGTGACAATGTATGGGAACGATTCTTCTGGAGCAGAATTGCATAGTTCATAGGAAAGCCCCTTCTCTAGAAACGTTCGAAAAGAACCTTAAAACCCGGCTCTTCCACTTTGGCTAGTAGGTGCACAATATGACACCATTGCACCCCTCAACGCTCTTCCCACTGGAATACACGCCCTCCAAATGGGAAGTTTAGCTTCACAACTATTATCCCTGCAGATAACTTGCTCCTATTTTTATCTCATTAGAGTCTTAGAATCGTTTCTATCCTGTACATGTGTCCCGCTCATTGTTATTGTGATTGTGTTTATTAGAATGTTATTTTATGACTATATTTATAATTTTTTTTCTTGATGTAATTTGACGATGTTGTTTATTTTTTATGCTCTGGTTTTATTTTGTTGTAATATGTTGTCCGGGCTTGGCCCCATGTAAGCCGTTCCGAGTCCCCATTGGGGAGATGGTGGCGGGGTATAAGGGAAGCTGGGGCTGACAGACGGGAGTTCACCCCACTCCCTGGATTTGAACCACTGACCTTTCGGTTAAGCAGTCCTGCAGACACGAGGGTTTAACCCATTGTGCCACCGGGAGCTCCTAGTGTTCTAAATTATATTATTAGTTAATACAGTAGTGTCAGACTTGTGGCCCTCTACATGTTTTGGACTTCAGCTCCCAGAATTCCTCTCCATTGGACAAGTTAGCAATAGGGGCCTTCTGGGAGTTGAGGGCTCAAACTCCTGGAGGGCCACAAGTTTGATGCCTCTGAAAGGGATACTTCAAATGTATAGAAAGTGTTTTGATGTAATATTTTTAAAATGTTTTTTATCCCCTCTCCCCAAATTCATCTAATTTTGTGATTCTCAATTCTTAAGAGCTTTAAGAACAAGGTTTTCATAACAAAAATAAGGTTCTTTATACTTCCTTCTTTGCTTCCACGCTGGGCTTCTTTCTTATGCAGATGAACAGCTTGTAGCTTTGCTCACGCAGAGCTTCCTTTCACACCAAACTTACACAGAACCTTCATACTGTACCTTCAACCTGGGGCTTCTCTAACCGAAGCTTCTCACAGACTAAGGTCCACCCCACACTGTGAGGGCTTCTCTCACAAACTTAAGCCTACCTCACACTGTGAGGCCTTCCCTCACAGACTGAGGCCTTCTCTCACAGACTAAGGCCTCCCTCACACTGTGAGGTCTTCTTTCACAAACTAAGGCCTCCCGCACACTGTGATACCTTCTTTCACAGAATAAGGCCTCCCTCACACTGTGAGGCCTTCTCTCACAGACTAAGGCCTACCTCACACTGTGAGGCCTTCTCTCACAGACTAAGGCCTACCTCACACTGTGAGACCTTCTCTCACAGACTAAGGCCTACCTCATACTGTGAGGCCTTCTCTCACAGACTAAGGCCTACCTCACACTGTGAGGCCTTCTCTCACAGACTAAGGCCTACCTCACACTGTGAGGCCTCTCACAGACTAAGGCCTACCTCACACTGTGAGGCCTTCTCTCACAGACTAAGGCCTACCTCACACTGTGAGGCCTTCTCTCACAGACTAAGGCCTACCTCACACTGTGAGGCCTTCTCTCACAGACTAAGGCCTACCTCACACTGTGAGGCCTTCTCTCACAGACTAAGGCCTACCTCACACTGTGAGGCCTTCTCTCACAGACTAAGGCCTACCTCTCACTGAGCCTTCTCCCACAGACTAAGGCCTACCTCACACTGTGAGTCCTTCTCACAGACTAAGGCCTACCTCACACTGTGAGGCTTTCAGACTAAGGCCTACCTCACACTGCAAGACCTTCTCTCACAGACTAAGGCCTACCTCACACAGTGAAGCCTTCTCTCACAGACTATGGCCTAACTCGCACTGTGAGGCCTTTCTCACAGACTAAGGCCTACCTCACACTGTGAGGCCTTCTCTCACAGACTAAGGCCTACCTCACACTGTGAGGTCTTTCACAGACTAAGGCCTACCTCACACTGTGAGGCCCTCACAGACTAAGGCCTACCTCACACTGTGAGGCCTTCTCTCACAGACTAAGGCCTACCTCACACTGTGAGGCCTTCTCTCACAGACTAAGGCCTACCTCACACTGTGAGTTCTCTCACAGACTAAGGCCTACCTCACACTGTGAGGTCTTCTCTCACAGACTAAAGCCTACCTAACATTGTGAGATCTTCTCTCACAGACTAAGGCCCACCTCACACTGTGAGATCTTCTCTCACAGACTAAGGCCCACCTCACACTGTGAGGCCTTCTCTCACAGACTAAGGCCTACGTCACACTGTGAGGTCTTCTCTCACAGACTAAGGAGTACCTCACACTGTGAGGTCTTCTTTCACAGACTAAGGCGCACTTCACACTGTGAGGCCTTCTCTCACAGACTAAGGTCTATGTCACACTGTGAGGTCTTCTCTCACAGACTAAGGCGTACCTCACACTGTGAGGTCTTCTTTCACAGACTAAGGCCCACTTCACACTGTGAGGCCTTCTCTCACAGACTAAGGCCTATGTCACACTGTGAGGTCTTCTCTCACAGACTAAGGCGTACCTCACACTATGAGGTCTTCTTTCACAGACTAAGACCTCCCTCACACTGTGAGGCCTTCTCTCACAGACTAAGGTCTCCCTCACACTGTGAGGTCTTCTCTCACAGACTAAGGCCTACCTCACACTGTGAGACTTTCTCTCACAGACTATCTCACACTGTGAGGCCTTCTCTCACAGACTAAGGCCTACCTCACACTGTGAGACCTTCTCTCACAGACTAAGGCCTACCTCACACTGTGAGGCCTTCTCTCACAGACTAAGGCCTACCTCACACTGTGAGGCCTTCTCTCACAGACTAAGCCCTACCTCACACTGTGAGGCCTTCTCTCACAGACTAAGGCCTACCTCACACTGTGAGGCCTTCTCTCACAGACTAAGGCCTACCTCACACTGTGAGGCCTTCTCTCACAGACTAAGGCCTACCTCACACTGTGAGGCCTTCTCTCACAGACTAAGGCCTACCTCACACTGTGAGGCCTTCTCTCACAGACTAAGGCCTACCTCACACTGTGAGGCCTTCTCTCACAGACTAAGGCCTACCTCACACTGTGAGGCCTTCTCTCACAGACTAAGGCCTACCTCACACTGTGAGGCCTTCTCTCACAGACTAAGGCCTACCTCACACTGTGAGGTCTTTCACAGACTAAGGCCTACCTCACACTGTGAGGTCTTCTCTCACAGACTAAAGCCTACCTAACATTGTGAGATCTTCTCTCACAGACTAAGGCCCACCTCACACTGTGAGATCTTCTCTCACAGACTAAGCCCCACCTCACACTGTGAGGTCTTCTTTCACAGACTAAGGCCTCCCTCACACTGTGAGGCCTCTCACAGACTAAGGCCTACCTCACACTGTGAGGCTGTAAGTATACTGTTTGAAGGGCGGGGTAAAAATGTTCGAAATAAATAAATTCTCTCACAGACTAAGGCCTCTCTCACACTGTGACGCCTTCTCACAGATTGAGACCTTTCTCCCACTGAGGTTTGCCTCAGACTACTAAGCTACAGGCACATTTATATAGAACTGCAGCTTTTGCCGAGTCATTGCATACAGTTAATTTTTAATATTTCTGACAAGCATGTCTTGAAACGACACGGTATTATCTCATCCCATGCTTTGCTCTCTCCTCTGAATCAAAGCCACAACTGTGTGCAGATGTGTTCGTTGCTGAGCATCACAGAAATGCAAGCCTACATTCCCAATGCTAGGCAGTGTGATGGACTGTCCTTTCCCCTTCCCAAATCCTCACATGCTGACATTTTTCTTTGCAGATCGCTGTCCAGAACCCATTAGTCTCCGAAAAGATGGAATTGACAGTCCTGTACAAAGAATACGCTGACGATGACCATGTATATCAGCAGAAGATCAAGGTAAGTTAGTACGGTTTGTGTATGTGTCTTAATATCTCTGATTTCACCTCTGGTTTGTGAAATGATGTATTGTCTCAAAAGTATGTTGGCAATGTGAAATGTTAGGAAAGCTCAGAGCTAGAGACACACGCCACTCCTCTGCTTGTTCTCTTTGCATAGGATCTTCTGCAGAAGTATTCGTTCATCCGGAAGACGAGGCCAGATGGCAACTGTTTCTACCGGGCGTTTGGCTTTTCCCATTTGGAGGCTCTTTTGGAGGACGGGAAAGAGCTGCAACGGTATGATGGTGGGAACATTGGGTCCAGTTGCCAAACTAATGGGGTTTGGGGGGATGTTTATGTACTGTCTGCCTTCGTTATTTGTATAATCGGATTGAATGTTTGCCGTTTATGTGTACTGTAATCCGCCCTGAGTCCCCTTGTGGGGATAGGGCGGAATATAAATCTATATATATATATATAAAAATGCTCTGTGCATAATGAGTACCCCAAAAACAAAAGAACCAATGAACGGAATCGCACCAAATTTGGCAACAAAACGTCTCACAACACAAGGAGTAACCATTACTCAAAAAATTATGATATTGTCATTTGGGAGTTGTAATTGCTGGGATTTATAGTTCACCTATAATCAAAGAGCATTCTGGACTCCACCAATGATGGAATTGAACCAAACTTGGCACACAGAACTCCCATGACCAACAGAAAATACTGGAAGGGTTTGGTGGGCATTGACCTTGAGTTTGGGAGTTGTAGTTCACCTACATCTAGAGAGCACTGTGGACTCAAACAATGATGGATCTGGACCAAACGTGGCACAAATACTCAATATGCCCAAATGTGAACACTGGTGGAGTTTGGGGTTCAGAATGTTCTTTGATTGTAGGTGAACTATAAATCCCAGCAACTACAACTCCCAACTGTCAAGATTCTATTTTCCCCAAACTCCACCAGTGTTCACATTTGGGCATATTGAGTAATTGTGTCGAGTTTGGCCTTGACATTTGGGGATTGTAGTTGCTGGGATTTATAGTTCACCTACAATCAAAGAGCATTCTGAACCCCACCAACGATGGAATTGAACCAAACTTGGCACACAGTTCTCCCATGACCAACATAAAATACTGGAAGGGTTTGGTGGGCAGTGTCCTTTGGTTTTGGAGTTGTAGTTCACCTACATCCAGAGATCACTGTGGACTCAAACAATGATGGATCTGGACCAAACTCTACATGAATACTCAATGTGCCCAAATGTGAACACTGGTGGAGTTTGGGGAAAATAGAATCTTGACATTTGGGAGTTGTATGCTGGGATTTATAGTTCATTACAATCAAGACATTCTGAACCCCACCAACCACAGAATGGGCCAAACCTCCCACACAGAACCCCCATATGGGCCACAGCAACGCGTGGCAGGGGACAGCTAGTAATGTATATTATAATCATTGAAGGTTTTCATGGCCGGAATTACTGGGTTGTTGTGTGTTTTCCAACTTACCTGTCCGAACGTACCTCTCCTTATGAACCTTCCAGGACTTTAAGATTGTCTGGGGAGGCCCTGCTCTCGGTCCCGCCTTTGTCACAAGCATGGCTGGCGGGGACGAGAGGCAGGGCCTTCTCAGTGGTGGCCCCTCGGCTATGGAAAGCCCTCCCTAACGACATCAGATCTGCCCCCTCCCTTTTCACATTTCGGAAACTTGGCTTTTTGAGCAGGCATTTGCAAATACAGTGTAACAGACATAGGAAAATAGAATGGTTTGATGATGTGACTGGACGATGTTTTGAATGAGGAGACCCTAATGATACATGTTTTTATTGATTGTATTGATTCTGTTACGGTTTTATTATTCGATTGTTTTATTATATTGAAATTGTATTTTATGGTCTTGTACTGGCAGTGGCTGGTCATTTGTGTAGATGTTGAACATGGATGGAGCAAGCACGCTCCCCTGAGGCAGGCCGTTCTTCTGTTTCCGCCATCTGCTTCTCTGGCCCTGGAACTCAACAAAAAAGCTCCTGTTTTGTAGCAGGTTTCCTATGAGGCGGGTGTTATATATCTGGAATGCCCAAGGTGGTTGTCTATTTGAGGCAGGTGTGAATGCAGCAATTGGCCTGGCAGTTTTCAAGGTCTGGCTTCTTACTGCTTGGGGGAATTCTTTGTTGGAAGGTGATTAGTTGACCCTGATTGTTTCTTGTCAGGAATTCCCCTGTTTTTGAGTGTTGTTCTATAATAATAATAATAATAATAATAATCATGGGAGGCTTCTCTCATGTCCCTGCATGAGGAGCTGGAGCTGGTAGAGGGAGCTCATCCGCCTCTCCCCGGATTCGAACCTGCGACCTGTCAGTCTTCAGTCCTACCGGCACAGGGGTTTAACCCACTGCGTCACCCGGGGGCTCCAATAATAATAATAATAATAATAATAATAATAATAATAATAATAATAATTATACTGACACAAAAACACAGTATGTCACAGCAAACGAGATCTATATGCTGGATTTCGTATCAAAAAATCACAAGTCGAACACTTCCCAAGCAACTAGGACTGTGTGATGTGTTATTATTATTTGAAACGCAACAAGATAAATCATAGAATCAAAGAGTTGGAAGAGACCTCATGGACCATCCAGTCCAACCGCATTCTGCCAAGAAGCAGGAATATTGCATTCAAATCACCCCTGACAGATGGCCATCCAGCCTCTGTTTAAAAGCTTCCAAAGAAGGAGCCTCCACCACACTCCGGGGCAGAGAGTTCCACTGCTGAACAGCTCTCACAGTCAGGAAGTTCTTCCTCATGTTCAGATGGAATCTCCTCTCTTGTAGTTTGAAGCCATTGTTCCGCGTCCTAGTCTCCAAGGAAGCAGAAAACAAGCTTGCGCCCTCCTCCCTGTGGCTTCCTCTCACATATTTATACATGGCTATCATATCTCCTCTCAGCCTTCTCTTCTTCAGGCTAAACATGCCCAGCTCTTAAGCCGCTCCTCATAGGGCTTGTTCTCCAGACCCTTGATCATTTTAGTCGCCCTCCTCTGGACACATTCCAGCTGTCAATATCTCTCTTCAATTGTGGTGCCCAGAATTGGACACAATATTCCAGGTGTGGTCTAACCAAAGCAGAATAGAGGGGTAGCATGACTTCCCTAATCTAGACACTATGCTCCTATTGATGCAGGCCAAAATCCCATTGGCTTTTTTTGCCGCCAGATCACATTGTTGGCTCATGTTTAACTTGTTGTCCACGAGGACTCCAAGATCTTTTTCACACGTATGAGTCCACAGCAGACACTGTGCTGGCTGCTGCTGCTGCTGTTGTTGTTATTATTGTTGTTGTTGATATTATTATTATTATTATTATTATTATTATTATTATTATTATTATGGTATTCGGTACCGTATTCAAAATGCAGGTGGAGGTTTCTCTGAAATTTTACTCAAGTTTGGTTCCTTGGTGCACAAAGCAGAATAACACTTGGTCTGGATTTTTATATATGTTTTTATATATATATACATCTTGCAGCTTCAAAGAAGTGGCCGCCAAAAGCAAGGAAGTGTTGGTGTCACAGGGTTTCACGGAGTTCACCATTGAGGACTTCCACAACACGGTAAGGCCTGCCCTGATTCAAATGATGTCTTCTCCATATCTGGCTCTCTCAGAAGCTGGAAATGGTGGGATTTTGTAGTTTGAAACATACCCAGCATGCTCCAGTTTGGGGAATTATGCTCTATGACAGTGGTTCTCAACTTGTGGTCTCTAGGTGTTTTGGTCTACAACTCCCAGAAATCTCAAGCAGTTTACCAGCTGTTAGGATTTCTGGGAGTTGAAGGCCAAAACATCTGGGGACCCACACGTTGAGAACCACGGCTCTAGGAAGTGATGAAGGGGATTCGCAGGTTCAGGAATGAAGGCCACCTATATTTCAGCCTTCGGCACATTTGGCATCAGTATCATAGCCTGGCCTCCTTTCCCCTTTAAAATACCATTCTATTTTAAAGCAGGAATGCGGAAGGGAAGGAGACATAGTTAATATGATGGAGAGGAGTTCTGAATTATTCTCTTTGTTGATGTGAGGAATGTAGTTCTGGAAACAAAGCTCACTTTGCCTTAGGTGTTGTCTCTGCCTAGATTTTATCTTTGGTGTTCTTTGGTATATGTGCCGTACATTGTCTGCGGTGCATGGGCTCCTTGGAATAAACAGACGTACACAGCACTTTTAAATACTGTGTTTACTGGACAATATTGAACTTAAAAAGAAAAGAAGCGAGTGGAAGTTTGCAATGAAGAAAACTCCCACTTGCTTCCACTCTTCTGGAGTGCTGCAATTCTTTAACCATAGTTAAGAGTTTGGGAGATGTTATGTTTTGCTTGCTAGAGCAGGTATGGGCCAACCCAGGCCTGGGGTCTGATCTGGCCCCGGGCTCTTTTCCCTCCTCTCTCAATATTTTATCCTTCCTTCTTTCTTTCCTTCACCCTTCCCTCCCACCCTCCCTCCTTCCTTCCCTTCCACCCTTTCATCCTTTCTTCCTTTCCTCTCTCCTTCCTTTCTTCTCTTCCTTCTTCCTTCCTCTTTCTTCCTTCTTTTCTCTTTCCTTTCCTTTCCTCCTTTCTTTCCTTTCCTTCCCCCTTCTCCTCCCTCCCTCCTTCCCCTTTTGTCTTATTTCTCTCTTTCCTCCCTCTCTATTCCCTTCCACCCTTCCTTCCATCCTTCTCTTATTCCCTTCCTTCTCTCTATCTTTCCTCCTTTCCTTTCTTTCCTTTCCTTCCCTTCCCTTCCTTCCATCCTTCCTTCTCTCTTTCCTTCCTTCCTTCCCTCTTTCTCTCCTTTCTTTCTCTCCTTCCTTCCTTCCTTCCTTCCTTCCTTCCTTCCTTCCTTCCTTCTTCCTTTCTTCCTTCTTAACCATTTGATTTCCTTCCTCTCTCCTTCCTTCCTTCCTTCCTTCCTTCCTTCCTTCCTTCCTTCCTTCCTTCCTTCCTTCTGTCCCTCCTTCCCTCCCCCCCATTTTGTGTTTCCTTCTTTTTTTCTTTCCTCCTCCCTCCCTCCCTCCCTCCCTCCCTCCCATCCCTCCCTCCTCCTTCCCCTTCCTCCCTCCCCCCTCCCTGCTTCTCCTTCCTTCTCCCTTCCTCCCCTCTCTCCTTCCCTTTCCTTCTTCCCTTCCTTCCTTCCTTCCTTCCTCCTTCCTTCCTTCCTTCCTCCTTCCTTCTTCCCTCCTTCCTCCCTCTTTTTTTCCTTTTCTTCTTTTCCTCCTCCTTCCCTCCCTCCTCCTTCCCTTCCCCTCCTTCCTTCCCTCCTTCTTCCTTCCTTCCCTCCTTCCTTTCCTTCCTTTCCTTCCTTCCTTCCTCCCTCCCTCCTCTTCTCCTCCTTCCTTCCTTCCTCCTTCCTTCCTTCCTCCTTCCTTCCTTCCTTCCTTCCTTCCTTCCTTCCTTCCTTCTGTCCTCCTTCCCTCCTCCTTTTGTGTTTCCTTCTTTTCTCTTTCCTCCTTCCCTTCCCCTCCTTCTCCTTCCTCTTCCTTCCCCTCCCTTTCCTCCTTCCTCCTCCCTCCTCTCGCTCCTTCCTTCCTTCCTTCCTTCCTTCCTTCCTTTCCTTCCTTCCTTCCTTCCTTCCTTCCTTCTGTCCCTCCTTCCCTCCCTCCATTTTGTGTTTCCTTCCTTCTCTCTTTCCTCCTTCCTTTCTCCCTCCCTCCCATCCTTCCCTTTTACCTTCCTCCTTTCCTCCTGGGGGATGTTTAGCTGGAAGAAATGAGGGTAGAGCGGGAACATGAGAACCATCTTTCAAGATCTCAAAAGGTCTCCCATTGAGTAGGAGGAGGGGGAACACTGACTTTCCACTGCTCTAGAGACCAGGGCACAAGGGAGCAATGGGTTCAAATGGCAGAAAAAGAGATTGAATTGAAAAGATTATGAAGAACTTCCTGGAGAGTGGCCTTGGCTGTCTGAGAGTGTGTTAGAGTCTCCTTCTCTGGAGGCTTTTCCACAGAGGCTGACTGTCAGGCATGTTTTGATTGTGCCTTCTTACATGGCAGGGGGTTGGACTGGATGACCTTTGGTGGTCTCTTCCAGCTCTAGGATTCTAGTATTCTATATCAGGAGTAGGCAAAACGGGGTCTAATGGAGACACCTTTTCTCTCCCATTCACCATCTCATCCTGACGAAGGCCAACGCTTTTGGGATCCAAATGTTGCCTGTCTTTCCTTCGCTTTCTGCTTCCGAAAGAGGAAGGGGAGGAAAGGACTCTTTCCACGTCCCCCATTGCATTACAACATTTATGCAATGCTTATGACGTGAAATAATAATAGCTCATCGTTGTTGTTGTTGCTTTTTTTTTTTTTTTTACAAACTCTTTAGTTCATGGATCTGATAGAACAAGTGGAGAAGCAGACCACTGTCTCGGAGCTGCTGGGCTCCTTCAATGACCAGAGCACCTCGGATTACCTTGTGGTCTACCTGCGGCTGCTCACCTCGGGGTACCTGCAGCGGGAGAACAAGTTTTTCGAGCACTTCATTGAAGGAGGACGAAGCATAAAGGAGTTTTGCCAGCAGGTAAGGAAATGGGTGACAAGGAAAGATTGCACACAGGCAGGCCTGGGCCAGCTTGGGCCTTCTGGGTGTTTTGGACTTCGACTCCCACCATTCCTAACAGCCTCAGGCCCCTTCCTTTTCCCCCTTGGCCGCTTAAGCCTACACTTTAGCCCCATAGTAACCAGAAAGGATGTTTTCTTGGAGGCGAAAGTCTCTCTCAAACTGCAGACAGGTGGTATAAGTCAGCTTCCCAAGTTCCTTTGCAAAAAATACACTTACAGGCCAAATATTTAGGACTTTTTTGGTCATGTATACCTAAAAGAAACTTTCTAACATACCTACGCTTTCAGTAGTGTTTTGGAAAGTTGGAAGGAGAGTTTATTTCGGCAACTTGAGCCTTAGCCTACAACAGGTATGGGCAAACCCAAGCCCGGGCGCCAGATGCAGCCCCTTGGGCCTTCCTCTCTCCCACCATCCTATCCTTCCTTCCTACCTTTTCTCTTTCCTTCCTCCTTCCATTCCTCCTTCCCTTCCTTAGTTCCCCCTTTCTCCTTCCATCCTTCCCTTCTCCCCTTTCACGCTTCCTTCCTTATCTCTTTCCTCCCTCCTTACCTCCCTCCTTTCCCTTTTGTCTTTCCTTCCTTCTTCCTTCCTCCTTACCTCCCTCCCTCTCTTACCTCCCTCTTTCTTCTTCCATCCTTCCTTCCCCCTCCCTCCTTTCTTTCCCTCCTTCCCATCTGTCTTGCCTTCCTTCCTCCATACCTTCCTCTTACCTCCCTATTTTTCCTTCCATCCTTCCCTTCCTCCCTTTCACCCTTCCTTCCTTACCTCTTTCCTCCCTCCTTACCTCCTTCCCTTTTGTCTTTCCTTCCTTCTTCCTTCCTCCTTACCTCCCTCCCTCTCTTACCTCTTTCTTCCTCCATCTTTCCCTTCCATCCTTCCCCCCTCCCTCCTTTCTTTCCCTCCTTCCCATCTGTCTTGCCTTCCTTCTCCCCTTCCTTCCTACTTACCTTCCTCTTACCTCCCTATTTTTCCTTCCATCCTTCCCTTCCTCCCTTTCACCCTTCCTTCCTTACCTCTTTCCTCCCTCCCTACCTCCCTTTTGTCTTTCCTTCCTTCTTCCTTCCTCCTTACCTCCCTCCCTCTCTTACCTCCCTCTTTCTTCTTCCATCCTTCCCTCCCCCTCCCTCCTTTCTTTCCCTCCTTCCCATCTGTCTTGCCTTCCTTCTCCCTTCCTTCCTCCTTACCTTCCTCTTCCTCTTTCTCTTTCCATCCTTCCCTTCCTCCCTTCCCTCCTTTTCCTCTTCCTTCCTTCTCCTCCTTCCCTTTTCTTCCTTCCTTCTTCCTTCCTCCTTCCTTCCTTCTTCTCCTCTTTCTCTTCTCTTTCCCTTCCTCCTTCCCCCTCCCTCCTTTCTTTCCCTCCTTCCCATCTGTCTTGCCTTCCTTCCTCCATACCTTCCTCTTACCTCCCTATTTTTCCTTCCATCCTTCCCTTCCTCCCTTTCACCCTTCCTTCCTTACCTCATTCCTCCCTTCTTACCTCCTTTCCCTTTTGTCTTTCCTTCCTTCTTCCTTCCTCCTTACCTCCCTCCCTCTCTTACCTCCCTCTTTCTTCTTCCATCCTTCCCTCCCCCCTCCCTCCTTTCTTTCCCTCCTTCCCATCTGTCTTGCCTTCCTTCTCCCCTTCCTTCCTCCTTACCTTCCTCTTACCTCCCTATTTTTCCTTCCATCCTTCCCTTCCTCCCTTTCACCCTTCCTTCCTTACCTCATTCCTCCCTTCTTACCTCCTTTCCCTTTTGTCTTTCCTTCCTTCTTCCTTCCTCCTTACCTCCCTCCCTCTCTTACCTCCCTCTTTCTTCTTCCATCTTTCCCTTCCATCCTTCCTTCCCCCCTCCCTCCTTTCTTTCCCTCCTTCCCATCTGTCTTGCCTTCGTTCTCCCCTTCCTTCCTCCTTACCTTCCTCTTACCTCCCTATTTTTCCTTCCATCCTTCCCTTCCTCCCTTTCACCCTTCCTTCCTTCCTTACCTCTTTCCTCCCTCCTTACCTCCTTCCCTTTTGTCTTTCCTTCCTTCTTCCTTCCTCCTTACCTCCCTCCCTTTCTTACCTCCCTCTTTCTTCTTCCATCCTTCCCTCCCCCTCCCTCCTTTCTTTCCCTCCTTCCCATTTGTCTTGCCTTCCTTCTCCCCTTCCTTCCTCCTTACCTTCCTCTTACCTCCCTCTTTCTTCTTCCATTCCTCTCATCCTCCCTTTCATCTTCCCTCTTTCCTCCTTCCTTCCCTTCCACTCTTTTCTTTCTTCCTTTCCTCTTGTCTTGCCTTCCTTTTCCCTTGCCTTCCTCCTTACCTTCCTCCCTCTCTTACCTCCCTCTTTTTCCTTCCATTCTTTCCTTACCTCCCTATTTTTCCTTCCATCCTTCCCTTCCTCCCTTTCACCCTTCCTTCCTTACCTCATTCCTCCCTTCTTACCTCCTTTCCCTTTTGTCTTTCCTTCCTTCTTCCTTCCTCCTTACCTCCCTCCCTCTCTTACCTCCCTCTTTCTTCTTCCATCCTTCCTTCCCCCTCCCTCCTTTCTTTCCCTCCTTCCCATCTGTCTTGCCTTCCTTCTCCCCTTCCTTCCTCTTACCTCCCTCTTTCTTCTTCCATCCTTCCCTTCCCTCCCTTTCCCTTCCTTCCTTCCTCTTCTTCCCTTCCTCCTTCCCTTTTGTCTTTCCTTCCTTCCTTCCTCCTTACCTCCCTCCTCTTACCTCCCTCTTTCTTCTTCCATCCTTCCCCCCCCTCCCTCCTTTCTTTCCCTCCTTCCCATTTGTCTTCCTTCTTCCCTTCCTTCCTCCTTACCTTCCTCTTACCTCCCTCTTTCTTCTTCCATTCCTCTCATCCTCCCTTTCATCTTCCCTCTTTCCTCCTTCCTTCCCTTCCACTCTTTTCTTTCTTCCTTTCCTCTTGTCTTGCCTTCCTTTTCCCTTGCCTTCCTCCTTACCTTCCTCCCTCTCTTACCTCCCTCTTTTTCCTTCCATTCTTTCCTTCCTCCCTTTCATCCTTCCTTCCTTCTTGTGGCCCTCCTTCCCTCTCTCCCTCTTTCTCTCCCCCTCCTTCCTTCCCTTCCACCCTTTTAGTCCTTCCTTCCTCCCCTTTTGTCTTGCCTTCCTTCTCTTTCCTTCCTCCATACCTCCTTCCCTTCTGTACCCTCCTCTGTCTCATTCCATCATTTGCTTCCTCTCTTTCATCCTTCCCTCTTTTTCCCCTCCTACCCTCTCTCCCTCTTTCTCCCTCCCCCTCCTTCTCCCTTCTCCTTTTCCCTTCCTTCCTTCCTTCCTTCCTTGCTTCCTTCCTTCCTTCCTCCTTCCCTCCCTCCCTCCCTCCCTTCCTCATTTTCTTCCTTCCCTCCCTCCCTTCCTGCTTCCTTCCTTACCTCTCTTTCTCATTCCATCCTTCTCTTCCTCCCTTTCATCCTTCCTTCCCTCTTTTTCCCCTCCTTTTCTCTCTTCCTCTTTCTCCCTCACTCCTTCCTTCCCTTCCACCCTGTTAGTCCTTCCTTCCTTCCCTTTTGTCTTGCCTTTTCTTTTTCCTTCCTCCTTATTTACCTCCCTCTCTTACCTCCCTCTTTCTCTTTCCATTCTTCCCTTCCTCCCTTTCATCCTTCCCTCTTTCCTCCCTCCTTCCCTCTCTCTTTCTCCCTCCCTTCTTCCTTCCCTTCCACCCTTTCTGTCCTCCCTCCCTCCTTCCCTTTTGTCTTCCTTCTCTTTCCTTCTTCCTTACACCCCTCCCTCTCTTACCTTCCTTTTTCTCCTTCCTTTCCTCCCTTTCGTTCTTCCTTCCCTCTTCCTTCCCTCCTTCTCCTTCCATCTTCTCTTCTTCCCTTTCCTCCTTCCTTCTTTCTCTCTTTCCTTCCTCCTTACCTCCCTCCCTCTCTTACCTTCCTTTTTTCTCCTTCCTTTCCTCCCTTTCGTTCTTCCTTCCCTCTTTTCTCTCTCCTTTCCTTCTTTCCTTCCTTCCTCCCCTCTTTCTTCCCTCCTTTCCCCTCTCCCTCTTTCTCCTTCCATCTTCCCTTCTTCCCTTTCCTCTTTCCTTCCTCCTTCCCTTCCTTCCATCACCGGGCCCCCAGTCCTCTTAGTGGGGAGTGCCTGCACGCGGCCCCCAAGTTTGAAAGTTTGCCCAGGCCTGGCGTACAACCTGGATTTAATACTTCTTTTTAAAAAGCCAAAACAAAACAACTGGGTTTGTGTGCCTGTTGTGACAGGAAAGGCTAGATGTGTGGCTGTGAGGCCCCAAAGAGCCTCCCAAGGGGCGGAGGGCGCTGGGATGGGTCTTGCTTGGGAGGGTAACTCTGCCTGTGGCTCTCTCCTCTCTTCCCAGGAGGTGGAGCCCATGTGCAAGGAGAGCGACCACATCCACATCATTGCGCTGGCCCAGGCCCTCAACGTCTCCATCCTCGTGGAGTACATGGACCGGGGCGAGGGCGGCACCACCAACCCCCACGTCTTCCCCGAGGGCTCGGAGCCCAAAGTGTATCTACTGTACAGACCGGGACATTATGATATCCTATATAAATAGCGGGCGGGGCACAGCCTGGCAAAGGAGCCAAGCCCCCCCCCCTTTTTCCATTCTCTCGCGCATTCTGTCTCGCTCCACGTTTCCCCACCGTCCTTCCCGCTGGGCAGCATTCGTCTGTGGTTGTAAATGGTGATCGCTCTTACTGACATCTCGCCGCTCACTTGGTTTGTTATTATTCTATTTTTTTTCCTCCTTCTTCTTTTGTTGTTACACTTACACACTCTCTTCTGTGTTTTATTAAAGGGGATGCCGGTGAAACAACTCTCCCTTGCTTATAGCCTGTCTTTTGCTGGTTATTTTGGGGCAGAGGTACCTGTTTCCCCTGGGAAAGGTATAACACTGAGAGGAAACCAGGACCTTCTCAATTTGTTGGGCACCTTTTGGGTTCCTTTGACACAGAATAATGAATGTTCAGTATTTCAAGCAGGCCACAACAAAGAATGGTAGGGGACGGCTAGTAGTAGTAGTAATAACAACAACAACAACTTTGGGGGATTCTCATCTCTCTCTCTCTCCTCCAGCAGCGCCAGGGAAGTCACAAGGGGGCGAGGCAGTGGCGCTGCCTGCCTGCCTGCCTTCCTTCCTGCCTGCTTGCCTGCCTTCCTTCCTTCCTTCCTTCCTTCCTTCCTTCCTTCCTTCTTCCTTCCTTCTTCTTCCTTCCTTCCTCCTTTCTTCCTTCTCTCCTCTCCTCTCTCTCCTTCCTCTCCTCTCTTCTCTCCTCCTCTTGTTTCTCCCCCTCTCCAAACTCAAAGCAGAGGCTAGGACTGCCTTCCTTCCTTCCTTCCTTCCTTCCTTCCTTCCTCCTTCCTTCCTTCCTTCCTTCCTCTCCTTCTTTCCTTCCTTCCTTCTCCTCCCCCTCCCTCTCCCTCTCCCTTCTTTCCTTCCTCCTTCTCCTCCTCCCTCCCTCCCTTCCTCCCCTTTTGTCTTTTTCCCTCTTGCCTCCCTCCCTCTCCATTCCTTCCACCCTTCTCTTCCACCCTTATCTTATCCTTCCTTCTCTCTTTCTTCCTCCTTCCCTTTTCCCTTCCTCTCTCCTTTCCTTTCTTCCTTCTCTCCTCTCCCTGTCCCTCCCCTCTCTCTGCTCCAGCGGCGCCAGGGAAGCCGCAAGAGGGCGAGGGCAATGGCGCTTCCTCCCTCCCTCCCTTCCTTTTCTCCCTCTCCTCCTCTCTCTCACTCTCCCCCAGCGGTGCCAGGGAAGCCGCAAGAGGGCGAGGCAATGGCCCTTCCTTCCTTCCTTCCTTCCTTCCTTCCTTCCTTCCTTCCTTCCTTCCTTCCTTCTTCCTTCCTGTCCCACCTTCTTCCTTTCCTTCTTTCCCTCCTTCCCTCCCTTCATTTCCTTCTTCCTCCCTTTCCTTCCCTCCCTCCTCCCTCCTCCCCTTTCTCTCCTTCCTTTCCTACTTTCCCTCCTTCCTTCCCTCCCTCCCTTTTTCCTTCCTTCCTGTCCCTCCTTCCTTTCCATCTTTTCCTCCCTTCCTTTCCTCTTTCTCCCTTCCCTTCCTCCCTTCCTTCTCTTCCTTCCCCTCCTTCTTCCTCTCCTTCCTCCCTTCCTCTGCTTCTCTCTCTCGCTCTCCAACAGCGGCACACATCCTCGGCTGCGGACCTTATTTTAGGTCTCATGACCCACCAGTCGCCCACAGGTTGGGAACCACTGTTCTAAGCCCACGGACCCTTTGAAAAAATCTTAACAACTGGACTTGCTGTGCTTGCATGTTTTATTCCAGAATACAGATCCTTTTCTGGATCCCTGCTTCCTCCAGAGATGTTCCAAGGTGTTCTCCGCATCTTGTTTTGCAAGCCGGGGGGTTAATTGAGGTGAAATAGACTCAGAGACGTGAAGGCGGAGGTCCTGCGTCAGCATCTGGCGGGAAGAAGAAACAATCTGGGACTGTTTTCCTTCTTGTACCATCTTTACCTTCAGTTACTTCATGTAACTTCTCATTCCCAGAATCCCCCGCAGTATAAAGGAAGCCCAAGGGTCCTGGCTGTAGAGTGACCCAGACAATAATATAGTAATAATAATAATAATAATAATAATAATAATAATAATAATATAATATAGTAATAATAATAGGAGGAGCCGCGGGGGTCCCTTGTGCCGGCTGAACTGCTAATCTGAAGGTCGGCAGTTCGATTCCGCAAGACGGGATGAGCTCCCGCCTGTCAGCTCCAGCTTCCCATGAGAGAAGCCTCCCACAGGATGGTAACACATCCAGGCATTCCCTGGGCAGCATCTATAGAGAGCCAATTCTCTCACACTAGAAGCGACTTGCAGTTTCTCAAGTCTCTTCTAACATGATAAAAATATATATACTGTTTTAATTCTTCACCTTCTCCGAAATAAGCCTAATACTGCATTCTTTCAATTGTAAAGTGCACCCTAATAAATAATATACTCTTTTTATTCGTCACCTTCTCCAAAAGAAGCCTAATAACGCATTCCTTCAATTGTAAGGTGCACCCTAATTTCAGTACCACCGCCTCAAAAAATACGAAAGACACACCTGTAATTCTAAGATGCACCCCGTTTTTAGAAATGTTTATATAGGGGGAAAAGTGTGTCTTAGAATGGGAGAGATGCAGCACTAACTTCAAAAATGTGTGTTAGGTAATTTTTTTTGAGAAACTGCAAGTCGCTTCTAGTGTGAGAGAATTGGCCGCCTGCAAGGACGTTGCACAGGGGACGCCGGATGTTTTACCATCCCCATGGGAAGCTTCTCTCATGTCCCCGCATGGGGAGCTGGAGCTGACAGAGGGAGCTCATCCACGCTCTCCCCGGATTCAAACCTGCGACCTGTCGGTCTTCAGTCCTGCCAGCACAAGGGTTTAACCCACTGTGCCACCAGGGACTCCTAGTTGGGTAAATAACACTGCGTAACATCATTTTTGTTCTTCGGTTATCAATGTCTTTTTCTAATTGGTTCTGTCGTAAAAACATCAGAAAAGTTGGGTTGCTGTGAGTTTTCTGGGCTGTATGGCCATGTTCCCGAAGCATTCTCCCCTCAGAACCTCTGAGGATGCTTGCCATAGATGTGGGTGAAACGTCAGGAGAGAATGCTTCTGGAAGCAGCCAGACCTTGAAGCTGCAAGGCCATTAAATGCTAATCAAGGTGTCCGATTGCATCAGTCACACCTTCTAGCAGGAGAGAATGCTTCTGGAAGCAACCAGACTTTGAAGCTGCAAGGTCATTAAATGCTAATCAAGGTGTCCAGTTGCAACAATCGCCCCTTCTTCCAGCAGGAGAGAATGCTTCTGGAAGCAGCCAGACCTTGAAGCTGCAAGGCCATTAAATGCTAACCAAGGTGCCCAGTTGCAAACAATCAGCACTTCTTCCAGCAGGAGAGAATGCTTCTGGGAGCAGCCAGACCTTGAAGCTGCAAGGCCATTGAATGCTAATCAAGGTGTCCAGTTGCATCAGTCACACCTTCTAGCAGGAGAGAATGCTTCTGGAAGCAACCAGACTTTGAGGCTGCAAGGCCATTAAATGCTAATCAAGGTGTTGGATTGCAACAATCACACCTTCCAGTGGGAGAGAATGCTTCTGGAAGCAGCCAGACCTTGAAGCTGCAAGGCCATTGAATGCTAATCAAGGTGTCCAGTTGCAAACAATCGCCCCTTCTTCCAGCGGGAGAGAATGCTTCTGGAAGCAGCCAGACCTTGAAGCTGCAAGGCCATTGAATGCTAATCAAGGTGTCCAATTGCAACAGTCACACCTTCTTCCAACATGGCCATACACGAAAGCTTTTGACAACACATTAGAAGTGGATTAAACGGCAAAAACTTTGTGTTTGTGGGACATCCTGCATCAGATTTTGCAATTGTTTTTCAGCGAGTATCTCAAAGTCTCAACTAATTCAAACAAGTAACAGGTTAGTAAGTTAGTGAAAAGCAGAGCACTCTGCCAATGTGTCCAGGCAGCTCTTACCCCTTCAGAGCGAGAGTGGGTCAAGCTGAAAGAACAAGAGGAAGGCGAGGTGAGAGAACCCTCGGCATGTGCTTCCCCCTCTTCATGTGCCCATTCCCATGAGAGCTCAAGTCCAGAGGAGGAAGAGCCGAACGTCCAGCCCCAAAAGAGGAGGCCTGCAACTCACCAATGGGGAAGAACCGGGGCAGCTTTTCCTTGTAGATCTCCTCGTCCTTCTCCAAGAAGACACAGATGATGATTCGGTCCACCTGCGGAAGGATAACAGAAGGTGTCTGGCAGCATCGTCACGCATCCTATTGCTATACATCTTGTTATTGTTTCCTAAGTGTCGTACTATACCAGTGGTTCTCCACCTTCCTAATGCCGCGACCCCTTAATCCATGTTGTGATCCTCAACTGTAACTTTATTTTCGTTGCTACTTCATAACTCTCATTTTGCTACTGTTATGAATTGTATTGTAATTGTATTGTATTGTATTATAATTATCTGATTGTATAGTGAATGATGTATCTTCATTCACTATAGACCAATCTCCCCGTTGTGCCACCTCTACAAAGTTCTAGAGAGACTTATTTTGCATAGAATTATGGAAAAAATAGACCCCTGTCTGATCCCACAGCAAGCTGACTTCAGGAAAGGCAAAAGCTGCACATCGCAAGTGCTGAACCTGACTCAGCACATAGAAGATGGCTTTGAAAGGCAACAGATTACAAGAGCTGTCTTCATAGGCCTGTCAGCGGTTTATGATACTGTGAACCACCGCCTCCTCCTGAGAAAAATGTATAATATTGCAAAGGACGACCACCTCACTCGCCTCATAGGAAACCTGCTACAAAACAGGAGCTTTTTTGTTGAGTTCCAGGGCCAGAGAAGCAGATGGCGGAAACAGAAGAACGGCCTGTCTCAGGGAAGCGTGTTTGCTCCATCCATGTTCAACATTTACACAAATGACCAGCCACTGCCAGAAGGGACAGAGAGTTTCATCTATGCTGATGATCGTGCCATCACCGCTCAAGCAGGGAGCTTTGAGATGGTAGAGCAAAAGCTCTCCAAAGCTCTAGGTGCTCTTAGGTGCCTACCAGCTGATCCCTAATCCGTCTAAAACACAGACATGTGCTTTCCATCTTAAGGACAGAGAAGCATCCCGAGCTCTGAGGATGACCTGGGAAGGAATCCCACTGGAGCATTGCAGCGCACCCAAATACCCGGGAGTCACTCTGGACCATGCCCTGACCTACAAGAAGCACTGCCTGAACATCAAACAAAAAGTGGGCGCTAGAAACAATATCATGTGAAAGCTGACTGGCACAACCTGGGAATCACAACCAGACACAGTGAAGACATCCGCCCTTGCGCTGTGCTACGCTGCTGCTGAGTACGCATGCCCAGTGTGGAACACATCTCACCACACTAAAACATTGGATGTGGCTCTTAATGAGACATGCCGCATTATCACGGGGTGTCTGCACCCTATACCACTGGAGAAATTACACTGTTTAGCCAGTATTGCACCACCTGACATCCGCCGGGAAGTAGCAGCTAATAGTGAAAGGACCAAGGCAGTGACATCTCCAGCTCATCCCCTGTTTGGGTATCAGCCAGCACGCCAATGACTTAAATCTAGAAATAGTTTTCTAAGATCTACAGAGACACTCGCTGGAACACCTCAGCAAGTGAGAGTCCAAAAGTGGCAGGGTCAATCCCAGAACCTCAACTAATGGCTGATACCAAATGAGAGACTCCCTCCTGGGCACACAGAAAACTGGGCGACTTGGAACTCCACCAACGATGGAATTGAGCCAAACTTCCCACACAGAACACTCATGACAAAGAAAAAAAATACTGGAAGGGTTTGGTGAACACTAGTGGAGTTTGGGGGAAATAGACCTGATAATAACAATAACAACAACAACAATAATAATTTATATACCGCTCTATCTCCTGGGAGGACTCAGGGCGTTAATAGGTAAACGACAATTTTCAGGGGCCTGTTAGGAGAGTGACCAGGGTAATATATAGGGGGCTAAGTAGTGTCCGGGACAGTCCGGACAGTGTCTGGGGTGAGCTAGCACTGGTCACACTTGAAGATTTGTTGAAACCACCAAGTCTTCCAATTCTTACGAAAAGAGGGGAGAAATGGGTCCTGTCTTATTTCCCTTGGAAGGGCGTTCCAGAGGCGGGGGGCCACCACCAAGAAGGCCCTCTCTCTCATCCCCACCAACCGTGCTTGTGACGGTGGTGGGAGCGAGAGGAGGGCCTGCCCGGAGGATCTTGACATTTGGGAGTTGTCGTTGCTGGGATTTATAGTTCACCTACAATGGAAGCGAATTTTGAACTCCATCAATTGGGCCAAACTTCCCACGCCTTGAAGGGACTCTGTGGTGTGAACCTCCCTCCAGCCTTGCATGCTCTCCCTCACTCACACATGCACACCATGCTGCCATGCACCAAGCATACCTGCACTCCCCTCCCTGCTTGGAGTCTTTTCCCCCTGCCTTGAAGGGATTTACTGGCATGAGCCTCCCTCCAGCTCCACACACTCTCCCTCACTTGTGTGCCATGTGGTGAGTATGCCTGCACTCCCCTCCCTGCTTGGAGTCTTTTCCCCCTGCGTTGAAGGGACTTACTAGCATGAGCCTCCCTCCAGCCCCACACGCTCTCCCTCAATTGTGTGCCATGTGGCGAGTATGCCTGCTCTCCCCTCCTATCTTGGAGTCTTTCCCCCCTGCGTTGAAGGGACTTACTGCCATGAGCCTCCCTCCAGCCCCACACGCTCTCCCTCACTCGTGTGCCATGTGGCGAGTATGCCTGCTCTCCCCTCCTTGCTTGGAGTCTTTTCCCCCTGCGTTGAAGGGACTTACTGGTATGAGCCTCCCTCCAGCCCCACACGCTCTCCCTCACTCGTGTGCCATGTGGCGAGTATGCCTGCTCTCCCCTCCTTGCTTGGAGTCTTTTCTCCCTGTGTTGTAGGGACTTACTGGTATGACCCTCCCTCCAGCCCCACACGCTCTCCCTCACTCGCGTACCATGTGGCGAGTATGCCTGCTCTCCCCTCCTAGCTTGGAGTCTTTCCCCCCTGCGTTGAAGGGACTTACTGCCATGAGCCTCCTTCCAGCCCCACACGCTCTCCCTCACTCGTGTGCCATGTGGCGAGTATGCCTGCTCTCCCCTCCTTGCTTGGAGTCTTTCCTCCTGTGTTGAAGAGACTTACTGGCATGAGCCTCCCTCCAGCCCCACACTCTCTCCCTCACTCATGTGGCATGCGCTGAGCATGCCTGCTCTCCCCTCCCCGCCGCTTGGGATGCGACCCCCAGATTGAAAAACACCGCTCTACCTTCTCCTTATTGTCTTCTAGCCACTTGTGCAGTGTGTTGAGGACAACGTCGGCAGCGGCATCATTTGGGTATCCTTTGAAAAATGTAAACAATGAGAAGTCTCAAAGAACAGTAGATCATGTGGTCCCGCCCCATGGTAGAGGATTGGACCCTCTTCCCCATCTGTACTTACCAAATACACCTGTCGAAATGCATGGGAAGGCCTGAGGAAACACAGTAAGACAAGGGTGTTAGGGAGAACCTGCATAGACACCATTACTCCTGCCTCTTGAGGCTCAACATTCTCCAGTAGCAGGTTCGGAACATCAGTAGACATATCTTGAAACCGGATAACAAATCATTAATGGGTGTCTCCTTGTCAACAGGCCTCCCCATAGGGCCCCACGTGCCTTCTTGCCTATCATCAGCATCATTACAATTATTAACTTTGCTTGCTGTGAGTTTTCCAGGCTGTCTGGCCATGTTCCAGAAGCATTCTCTCCTGATGTTTCACCCACAACTATGGCAGGCATCTTCAGAGGTTGTGAGGTCTGTTGGAAACCAGGCAAGTGGGGTTTCCATATCTGTGGAATGATGTCCAAGGTGGGAGGAAGAACTCTTGTCTGTGTGAGGCAAGTGTGAATGTTGCAATTGTAATTGCTTGAGGCATGTATGAATGTTGCAATTGGGGCAAGTGTGAATGTTGCAATTGGGGCAAGTGTGAATGTTGCAATTGCAATTGCTTGAGGCAAGTGTGAATGTTGTAATTGGGGCAAGTGAGAATGTTGCAATTGCAGTTGCTTGAGACAAATTTGAATGTTGCAATTGGGGCAAGTGTGAATGTTGCAATTGCAATTGCTTGAGGCAAGTGTGAATGTTGCAATTGGGGCAAGTGTGAATGTTGCAATTGCAATTGCTTGAGGCAAGTGTGGATGTTGCAGTTGCAATTGCTTGAGGCAAGTGTGAATGTTGCAATTAGGGCAAATGTGAATGTTGCAATTGGGGCAAGTATGAATGTTGCAACTGCAATTGCTTGAAGCAAGTGTGAATGTTGCAATTGGGGCAAGTGTGAATGTTGCAATTGCTTGAGGCAAGTGTGAATGTTGTAATGCAATTGCTTGAGGCAAATGTGAATGTTGGAATTGTGGCAAGTGTGAATGTTGCAATTGGGGCAAGTGTGAATGTTGGAATTGTGGCAAGTGTGAATGTTGCAATTGGGGCAAATGTGAATGTTGGAATTGTGGCAAGTGTGAATGTTGCAATTGGGGCAAGTGTGAATGTTGCAACTGTAATTGCTTGAGGCAAGTGTGGATGTTGCAATTGGGGCAAGTGTGAATGTTGCAATTGCAATGGCTTGAGGCAAGTGTGGATGTTGCAATTGGGGCAAGTGTGAATGTTGCAACTGCAATTGCTTGAGGCAAATGTGAATGTTGTAATGCAATTGCTTGAGGCAAGTGTGAATGTTGCAATTGGGGCAAGTGTGAATGTTGCAATTGCTTGAGGCAAATGTGAATGTTGTAATACAATTGCTTGAGGCAAATGTGAATGTTGCAATTGTGGCAAGTGTGAATGTTGCAATTGGGGCAAGTGTGAATGTTGCAACTGTAATTGCTTGAGGCAAGTGTGAATGTTGCAATTCGCGCAATTGTGAATGTTGTAATTGGGGCAAGTGTGAATGTTGCAATTGGGGCAAGTGTGCATGTTGCAAATGCAATTGCTTGAGGCAAGTGTGAATGCTGCAATTGGCCACCTTGATCAGCATTGAATTGCCTTGCAGCTTCAAACCCTGGCTGGTTGCTGCCTGGGGGAGTCCTTTGGTGGGAGCAAACTGCTTCTGGAGCATGTCCGTACAGTCCGGAAAACTCACAGCAACCCAGTGATTCCAGCCATGAAAACTTTCGACAACACATTATGAACCTTATTTAATTAACTGCCTTTGTCCCTGTCGGGACTCAAGGCAGCTAGCAAGCACACCATCTAATAACATTGTAAAACACAACAAAAATAAAAACAATTATGTGTGGATATTAAGTTAACACACAGGTAAAAACAATTAACATTCCTATAGAAAGGTCTTTGGGAGGAATTTGTTAGGTCATCCAGGGAGATCAGAGGCGTAAGTCTTCCAAAGACAACCCCATGATCCCCACACTCACTAACCACGGTCCGCAGCTTGTTCTCCACGGCGAGCTTCAGGCTGTTTTTGTAGCAGTTGCCGAGCTCCTCTTCTTGGCTGGCGCTGGGCTCTCCCTGGGCAATGGGCCCCACGGTGTGGATGATGACTGGGGGGAGAGGAGAGGCATAGGGTCAGGCCATCGCCCACAAACAAGCATCGCAAAGCCCTGTTCACAGTCCAGCCTTTCAAGAAACATACTCCATAAACTATTAAGCGATCACAACTTAAAGGTAAAGATTTCCCCTTGACATTAAGTCTAGGTGTGTCTGATTGCATATTGGTGCAGAACCTGAAGAGCCGGTGCTGTCCATAGACACCTCCAAGGTAATGTGGCCGGCATGACTGCATGGAGTGCGGTACCTATTGATCTACTCACATTTGCATGTTTTCGAATTGCTAAGATCATAGAATCATAGAATCCTAGAGTTGGAAGAGACCTCCTGGGCCATCCAGTCCAACCCCATTCTGCCAAGAAGCAGGAATATTGCATTCAAATCACCCCTGACAGATGGCCATCCAGCCTCTGTTTCAAAGCTTCCAAAGAAGGAGCCTCCACCACACTCCGGGGCAGAGAGTTCCACTGCTGAACGGCTCTCACAGTCAGGAAGTTCTTCCTCATGTTCAGGTGGAACACCCTCTCTTGTAGTTTGAAGCCATTGTTCCATTGCGTCCTAGTCTCCAGGGCAGCAGAAAACAAGCTTGCTCCCTCCTCCCTGTGGCTTCCTCTCACATATTTATACATGGCTATCATATCCCCTCTCAGCCTTCTTTTCTTTAGGCTAAACATGCCCAGTTCCTTAAGCCGCTCCTCGTAGGGCTTGTTCTCCAGACCCTTGATCATTTTAGTCACCTTCCTCTGGATACATTCCAGCTTGTCAATATCTCTCTTGAATTGTGGTGCCCAGAATTGGACACAATATTCCAGGTGTGGTCTAACCAAAGTGGAATAGAGGGGTAGCATGACTTCCTTAGATCTAGACACTATGCTCCTCTTGATGCAGGCCAAAATCCCATTGGCTTTTTTTGCCGCCACATCACATTGTTGGCTCATGTTTAACTTGTTGTCCACGAGGACTCCAAGATCTTTTTCACACGTACTGCTCTCGAGCCAGGCATTGTCCCCCATTCTGTATCTTTGCATTTCGTTTTTCCTGCCAAAGTGGAGTATCTTGCATTTGTCACTGTTGAACTTCATTTTGTTAGTTTTGGCCAATCATCTCTCTAATCTGTCAAGATCGTTTTGAATCCTGCTCCTGTCCTCTGGAGTATTGGCTATCTCTCTCAATTTGGCAGAAGTTGGCTAACAGTGGGAGCGCACAATTGAAGAAGGCACCATAATTGAAGGGAGATATTGACAAGCTGGAATGTGTCCAGAGGAGGGCAACTCAAATGATCAAGGGTCTGATGAACAAGTCCTATGAGGAGTGGCTTAAAGAGCTGAGCATGTTTAGAAGAACACTGAAGCATCATCAAATGCACTGTTAAGGCATAGTGTGTGTGTATATATGTATATATGTGTGGACACCAGAGGGCGGTGCTGAGCCACCATTCAGCCCTAAGACAGCCAGAGGTTTGGCTCACTGTGTGCTTGCCAGTCTGCCCTGATTTAATGGCACGATGAACGTGCCATACCAACACTTTTTCACTATCCGAGCTCTGGGAGAACAGGGCCAGTCATGGAGAAGAGGGATTGCGCCCAAAGAGGGGCTGAAGCATCCACACGGCACATCTTGGCCAAACTGGAGATGCATCTCCCAAGCTGTGATGGAGCGTTGTTTACAACGGTGGTCTCAAAGCAGGGCTAGCAAGCGCCTTCTCCTCTTGGCCCAGCTCTAGTTGCCCCTTGTTTTCGCCAAGATTGTCTGGTTTGTCTAATATGGAACATGCAACATATCATTGTCCTTCTTAAGGGTTCCCTTTCAAATCTAGGATACTATATCTCTCTGTGTGTGAATCATATCTATCTATATCTACGGCTGAATGGCTCTTTGCCAAGAGGGCTTTGATTATGTTGAAGGGAGTTGGACTCGATGGCCTTAAGTATTTTCTGTTGGTCATGGGGGTTCTGTGTAGGAAGTTTGCCCCAATTCTCTCATTCTTGGGGTTCAGCATGCTCTTTGATTGTAGGTGAACTATAAATCCCAGCAACTACAACTCCCAAATGTCAAGACCTAATTCCCCCAAACTCCTTCTGTGTTCACATTAGGGCATATGGAGTATTTATGCCAAGTTTGGTCCTGATCCATTTTGTTTAAGTCCACAGTGTTCTATGGATGTAAGTGAACTACAACTCCCAAACTCAAGGTCAGTGCCCACCAAACCCTTCTAGTGTTTTCTGTTGGTCATGGGAGTCCCTGTGGACCAAGATTGGTTTAATTCCATCATTGCTAGCATTTGGAATGCTCTTTGATTGTGGGTGAACTATAAATCCCAGCAACTACAACTCCCAAATGTCAAGGCCTAATTCCCCCAAACTCCTTCTGTATTCACATTTGGGCATATGGAGTATTTGTGCCAAGTTTGGTCCTCATCCATCATTGTTTGAGTCCACAGTGCTCTTTGGATGTAAGTGAACTACAACTCCCAAACTCAAGGTCAATGCCCACCAAACCCTTCTAGTGTTTTCTGTTGGTCATGGGTGTCCTGTGTGCCAAGATTGGCTCAATTCCATCACTGGTAGCGTTCGGAATGCTCTTTGATTGTAGGTGAACTATAAATCCCAACAACTACAACTCCCGAATGACACCTGCTACTAAGGAGGCTGTCCAGGTCCTGAAAGGTGATTTACTAGCTGTGCTAAAGTCCATGGGATTGTTATCAATCACATGGGGATATCCACTGGGCCAGATGTGGAGTCCTCCATTCTTTTCCTATTGAAATAAGAAAGGTATGGTAGTCAGAGCCAACTCAGAAGGTGGAGGAGGAAAGGGAAGGAGGAGAGAGAAAGAGATAGGGGGAGAAGGAGATGGGGAAGGAGATAGAAGGGGGAGAAGGAGAGAGGAGAAAAAGAGGAGAAGAAGAGAGGAGAAAGAGAGAGAAGGAAAGGGAGAAGGAGGGAGAAGTAAATAGAATGAGTGGGGGAAAAGAGACGAAGAAGAAGAGAAGAGGGTGAAGGGGAAAGGAGAAAGGGAGAGAAGCAGAAGGAGAGAGAAGGAGAGGGGAGGGGGAGGAGGGAGAAAGAGAAGAAAAGGGAGGAGAGGAAGAAGGAGACAGGAGGAGAGGGGAAAAGGAGAAGGAGATGGAGAAGGAGGAGAGAAGAGAAAAGGGTGAAGGAGACAGGAGAAGAGGGGAAAAGAGATGAAAAAGGAGAGAAGGTGGAGAAAGGGAGAGAAGGAGAAGGAGAAAGAGAAGAAAAGGAAGGAGAGGGAGAAGGAGGTAGGAGGAGAGGGGAGGAGGAGGAGAGGGAGAAAGAGAAGAAAACGGAGAAGAGGGAGAAGGAGAGAGGGAGAGTGAGAGGGAAGAAGGAGAAAGAGAAGAAAAGGGAGGAGAGGAAGAAGGAGAAGGAGGAGAAGAGGAGAAGGAAAGAGAGGAGAAGGAGGGAAAGAAAGTAGAGAAGGAAGAAAGGAGAGAAGGAGGGGGAGAGAAGGAGGAGAGAAGGAGGAGAGGAGGAGAAGAAGGGAGAAAGAGGAAAGGAGAAGGAGAAGAGGAGAGAAGAGGGAGGAGAAGGAGAAAGGGAGAGAAGGAGAAGGGGGAGAAGGAGAGGAGGAGAGGAGAGAGAAAAGAGAGAGGGACATGCCAGGAGGAGAGGGGAGAAGGAAAAGGAGATGGAGATGGAGAAGGAGGAGAGAAGAGGGTGAAGGAGACAGGAGAAAGGGAGAGAAGGAGAGAGAAGGAGAGGGGAGGAGGAGAGGGAGAAAGAGAGAACAAAAAGGAGGAGAGGGAGAAGAAGGAGAGGGGAGGAGAAGGAGATTGAGAAAGAGAAGGAGGAGGGAAAAGAAGAGGGTGAAGGAGAGAGGCGAGGGAAAGAGAGGGGAGAAGGAAAATGAGATGGAGAAATAGGAGAGAGAAGAAGAGAGAGAGGGGAGGGACATAGGAGGAGAGGGGAGAAGGAAAAGGAGAGGGGGAAGGAGAAGGAGTAGGAAAGAGAAGGAGGAGAAGGAGAGAGAAGGAAGGAAAGGGAGAAGAATGGAAATCCCACCCTTTCCCCTGCCTCCATTTCTTGGCTTCCTCACAACTGGAGCGCAGAAGCAGCAAAGGCTTCCCACATCCTCTCTTGGGAAATGCAATCAAAATGCAAATCTGCTGACGCGCCAACCCACTGCCCTGCTAATAAAGACAAATTGCTCCTGCAAACCCCACGGAAGGAAGGGCCGGCTATCCGTCAGCTTCTGCGAGGGATTTGCATGACAAGTGTTGGCGCACCTCTTCTGGGCCTACCAGGGGCTCGCCAGCCCCTCTGCTCCCAGCAAGAAGATGGCCAAGCTGCTGGGCTGATAAGAAGAACCCCAATGTGGAGGAGCACAGACCTCTCTGGCCCCTTTGTATTGCTTTTGATGAATTCCATCGTCAATATTATAGCCATTAGGTCAACCGAAAAGGTCCAAGTGGTGCTAGCGCTAGAAACTGTTTTAACAACACGCAAGGGAGATGAAGATGCTGGAGTGAGACCTCCAAGAATTGGCCTTCTTGGGTCTTTGAAGGTGCTGGAGTGAGACCTCCAAGAATTGGCCTTCTTGGGTCTTTGAAGGTGCTGGAGTGAGATCTCCAAGAACTGGCCTTCTCAGGTCTTTGAAGATGCCGGAGTGAGACCTCCAAGAGCTGGCTTTCTCGGGACTTTGAAGGTGCCGGAGTGAGACTTGTAAGAGCTGGCCTTCTCGGGACTTTGAAGGTGCCGGAGTGAGACTTCTAAGAGCTGGCCTTCTCGGATCTTTGAAGTTGCCAGAGTGAAACCTCCAAGAGCTGGCCTTCTCGGGACTTTGAAGGTGCCGGAGTGAGACCTCCAAGAATTGGCCTTCTTGGGTCTTTGAAGGTGCTGGAGTGAGACTCCAAGAACTGGTCTTCTCAGGTCTTTGAAGGTGCTGGAGTGAGATCTCCAAGAACTGGCCTTCTCAGGTCTTTGAAGATGCCGGAGTGAGACCTCCAAGAGCTGGCTTTCTCGGGACTTTG